TAAAATATTTAATATTTCTCATTCTTTGGCAGTTACACCATTTGATATTTTCAGGTACATTCATTCTTAACTTTCGTAAAAAAATATTTTTAAAAAAGTGCATATGTCATTTTTAATTACATAAAATCAACATAAATACACTGTGCATATTTTAAAATACCTGATGCATGCTTTTAAAACAATTTCTTAAAAGATTTTTGAATTTCTCATCTATTAGGATACTAGTTCAAAATATTTCACTGAATGGAAAATACTCTTACCTCCAAACGTTCATCATTCTTCCTTTTTAATGGCCTTTCTTTTACTGTTGATTCATTCTGGTTCTGCCCAGCTTTGCCTTCTTCTTCCTCTGGTCTCCTTTGGCTTTGGTCTGTGTTTTCGGTTTCCTCCCAATAGCGCTTTGGAGGCTGAGTAAGAAAAAGCCAGTCACATTCATAAATATTTTCACAAATAAATTAATCCTTTTTTCTTTTCTTTTTTTGTTTGTTTACTTTTTCAATCAGGAGCAAATGTTTTTCTTTGGAAACAATTACATATTTGTCCCTGCCTGGTATACTTTATTTAGACTGTTTACCTTGTTGGGTAAATAACAAATAAGTCTGTCCATAATGAAGAAAAATCTAGTTCTTAGAAATACAGACAGTCATGAGTCAGTGTCTGCAAATGTCTTCTTCATTCTATTCGTGTTTGTTTATTTTCATGTTGGTTACATCCACTTAACTTTGGCTCTGTTTCCACACTGAATTAAGACGCGTTTTCAGTAGTCAAACGTTTTATTAAGTGTTTTTAAGGCATAATAATAAAAGATTATTTCAAACTTTTTAAAGTTCTTTTTTAAGAACATCATTAATCAATAAAGCTTTTTCTTCATTATAATATTGTCACATATGCATCAGCCTATAAAAACATTCAAGTCACTGAAAATCCTAGGAATGTCATATCACACAACAAAGTACTTGCATTTGATATGAAATGTATTCAGTAGGCTACTGCCGAGTATAATTGTTAATAAAACCAGTGAAATCTTTACAACATCTTTACTGTGAACATCCGACATCAACAAAGACATTAATGCCGATAAGTAAAAGCTGATTAGACTGTAGCCAAAGCAATAAATGATAATATCGACCTTTTTCTTCCTCATTTTCTCCACGTGTGTACTCGTCAACACCTCCGTCATGACCGCAGACATTTTTGTTTGAAAGGACTGTGTCGTCTTCTTCTAACGAGTATTGGCAGATGGAAAACCAGTTTAAAGGTAAAATA